GTCTAAATTGCACGATGGCAATATTGTAATTATTGAGAAGTCTCGTGGCGTTTATTAATGTTTAGATTTTCAAATTGTAGATCTGATCCAATGGTTGAGAATTAGTCTTACGGATCTCACAAAAAACCTTTGGTCTCACATGATCCCAAGTATTATTAACTATATATATAAGACTTGGGATCATGTGAGACCAAAGGTTTTTTGTGAGACCCGTAAGACCAATTCTCAACCTTTGGATTAGATCTACAATCCGAACATTCATAATCACGAAATTGCCATGAGATTTCTCAATAATCACAAAATTGTCACCATGCAGCTTTAGACCATTAGATCATTAGCTTATAAAATTGATCAATGAACATAAATTGGTCTTACGGGTCTCACGAAAAGCCATTGGTCTCACGTGAACCCAACCCTAGTTAATAATATAAATCAAATAAGTTTATATAAGAATTTGTTCTAGATTCAATGTTATCTACGGGTGTTTGTGGTCCGGTTTAGACGGTTTAACCTCTTAAACCACAAACCAAACCGCAATGGCTATTTCTGAAGTTTTTTCAAACCGAGTGGTTTGGGTGAACTAACCAGACCGCTCAAATCAGACCACAAAAAACCAATCTGGTCTGATCGATTTAGATGGTTCGGGCCTAAGCCTAATACGACGCTTTAAATTAAAAAGTGAAAAATAAAACTTCTTGTCTTGAATGATTTTCTTTGAATGCGACATAAAAGTTGAGTCTATAACATGAAAACTAAATATAATCAGTGCATATGTATTTTGGCAGTCAGTTTGTTACAAACGGTTAAAAAACCGTTCAAACTAGACATACTGTTTTTGAACACCCTAAATGGTCAGGGTTTAAGGGTCGTTCACACCGTTCAAACTACAAACGAGTGGTTTGCCTATTTTTCAGATCGGATCGGGCCGCCAGACTGCTCAAACTACCAAAAAATGGTCAGGGTTTAAGGGTGTAACGATTTTTTTGAACACCCCAAATTGTACGTTGTATTCTAATATTACTTCTTGCGTGGTCTACTCTAATTCTTTTTTACGTTAACCCTTTTTTTTCAATTCAATCGGTCAGTTCATTAAATACCACAAGTATAATAATAAACGGACATAAAGGGTGGTACCGAAAGACTTGACTCGTAGAACTGATGTGACAAAAGCGACCAGTAGGGTAGGTATAAATGTTCGATAGGATTGGTGCATGTTGTTGTCTATCATGATAAAATCAAGGGTAAACTGAATCGAAACATAATGAATTTTAGCCTGAGTTTTATTTTATATAACGTATTTTAAAAAAAATTATGTTGGTACCTCAGCGAAGCTGTGATATATATACGTACAGACCCAGATACGTTACATGAATAGTAATCGTACTGGTTTTGGTTGCATTACTGCTTTTTTCATAGCAATCTCTCGTTGATTGTTGTAATGAGCTTTCCTTTGATCTTCTTCAAATAATAACATTCTGAGTAGATTACAGATCTGGTTATGTCTTTTGGTGAAAATTTTATGGATTGTGTAATCTGTACGACTTTTTGTATTTGAATGACACCTGATGAAAATTGATATGTTAAATGATTAATATGTTAAAGGGGGTTGTTTGTTTACCTCTTAATAGTTCTATTAAGAGGCAGCCTCCGAATCATTAATAGATGAATACTGTTTGGCAAAAAAAAGTCTGCTTCTTAATGGTTTCTAAAACCCTCTTAATGGTTTTGTATCGTGGGCCTCTTTTAATCATTAAGCGCCCTAATTTCATTGTAAACAATTAGATTGAAATTGGGTTATTATTATTTGAACTCAACCCAACTCGATGAATCTGATATCCTTGTATTTCTTGAATTTAATATGATTGTTGAGTTTTTATTAATATAAACATTAAACAATTACATTATCATGTACCCTCTTCATATACACATATTTTCAATCTATTCACATCTCTATATAACTCATTCGTATATATGTCTAGTAACTGTGAATATATATATATATATATATATATATATATATGTAAATTGAAAAAATTGAATATGATATACATAAGATTTAAGAAGTAAGAATAAGTAGCATCAAATGGTTGATGATGAAAAATAAATTATGAGTAGAGAAATAACATATTCAAGGTTAGAAAAATATTTTAATGTCCCAAAGTATCAACCCGACCAAGCCGTACGGTTTGGGTTGGGTTGAATTGCACTTTGGTTTGAGTTAAGATTTTTCAAACCGCAAACATTGGGTTGGGTTGTTCAAATATATTCATCCCAATCAACCTAACCCATGAGCACCCCTAGGCGGCAGTGACGACCGATAGTCAACGACTGTGACAAGGATAAATGTACCTTAGATGGAGATCAGGGTGAGTGGTTACATACAACATCAATCAAATACCTAAACAGTACATTTGCATGTGATATATATCTGATCAAACCGATATATCGATAGCAATTGTTAACTGTTTAATTTTCTTTGTCCTGTTTTTCGTTAGCTCATCAAAAACGACATGCTTTGAAAGTTTTATATTCTATTTGTTTTTTATTGTTTTATTTCGTAAGTGGTAGTCAACGTCAAGCCTCTGAGGCATACAGAGTTGGCTACGGAGTTATATATCAGCACAAACGAGAGTTCGAATCTGATAGCCGTAGGGTGAAAGTTTCGATATTTTTTTCATAGATTGTGTTGTTATGTTGGTTAGCAACAAAACAAGTAAAGGGTATTTTTGTAAAAATGTGATCTTTTATTTTATTTTTCTTCTATTGTTCAATAACCCAAAAACTGATTAACGGACCGAATACGAACCCCATTTCTCATTCCTTCCCTTCTCTTTTAAAATACACCAGAAGGGTACTCGCGCAATGCAGCGACATAAATCTCCATTTTAATGTTTAATTTTTATTATTTGTCTCTATCGATGTAATATAATTTTATGTGGTTTTAAGAAAGCGATAATTTTTCTTTTTGAATGAGAACATAGCATTAAAAAAAATTCAATAGTATTAAATTAACTATTTAATACTTTTCGTTTTTTTTATGTAACTTATTTAATTCAATTTTTATTATAATTTAATTTAGGTATAATAACAAAATAATTTATTTTTGGTTTAATAATATAATTTTTATTAAAGATAATAATTAAACATTCGGTTAGAAACTCGATAATTATCATAATTATATTTTGGATTTTCTATATTTAAAATAGATGTTTATTCTGTATTTGATTATGTTTATCCGTAGTTAGTTACACGAATTCAAACATGAAGCTTTAATAAATTGTACTTAATGCATAATTTACTTGTAACCTTAAATTTTAAGTAATATACATTAGAGATGGCCAAACGTAACCGGCCCGGCCCGTAACTGACGGAGGCCCGGAACCGAGCCCGGCTCAAGACCGTAACCGACCGGGACCGGTGGTAACCTGTTATGGACCGGCGGTTACGAACCAGTTAGCGTTTTTAAGAAAATCTTGGACCGGAACCGGTTACGAAACCGGTTATGGGCCCGGCCCGGCCCGGTCAACGAAAAAAGTCAAAAAGTCAAACTAGCGGTTTTAAAGTCAAAAAGTCAAACTAGCCGTTTTATTCAGTCAAACTAGCCGTTTTATTCAGTCAAACTAGCCGTTGGACTCCCTTATGACCGTTTTTTTTCATCTTCTTAGCTACCAAAACATGTATAATATAGAGATGGGAGTTCCTTAGAGAAGGAGATCTTTAGAGACGGAGATTGAAACGGTGGAAGAAAATCTTGAAGAAAATGAAATCTCTATGGGACTAAGCACGCCACCAAGTACCGATACCGAGATCACTTACTCCCAGTCCCAATATGATGATGATGAGGAACTCGACATTGATGACCTTGAAGACCAAGAGGCTATTAGAAGAATTCAAGAGACCGGAACTCTTCAAGTCAATCCGACATGGGATATCGATGAAGATTGATAAATAAATGTATTTTATTAGCATTTTGTAAAACAATGCCACTTTAATCATAATAAAACGTACTTTTAAAGTGTATTTGAGTAAACCGTATTTTTAAAGTGTATTCTTAAATGTATTTAACAAAACGTATTTATAAAATTAAACGTATATAACAAAACGTATTTATAAAATTAAACGTATATATATAATATATAACAAAACGTATTTATAATAAAACATATTTATAATAAAACGTATTAAAAATAACATATTTCCAAGATATTAATAACATATTATAAATTTATTAATTACCAAAAAAATAAATAATAAATAATTTTTTTTACGAAGGACCTGCCGAAACCGGTTATGGGACCGGAACGGGGACCGGATGGCGTCACCGGTTATGAGCAAGCTTGACCGGTTATAGTGTTTTTCATCAGAACCGGGACCGGTTATAGACGGTTTTTGTCGCGATTAGAACCGGCCGTAACCGGTTAAGGCCCGTCCCGGGACCGATTTTTGGCCATCTCTAATATACATCAAAAAACAATACTTCAAGCATAAAAAATTATTTTTAAGATTTTTTATCAAATGTTTTATAATATAGTATAGATAAAAAGATCTCTTTTTTGTTCTTTACCATTTTTTTCAATAACTTTGAATAAACTACAAATTTGGTTCCTACGGTTTATCAAAAATAACACTTTCCGTCCCCATAGTTTTGAATTTTCAAGTTAGACCATATGATTTACAAAAACACTCATATTTCCGCCAACGACCATTAAAAAATTCTGTTAAAATAATAGAGATTTTCGTCCTTATATCTATTTTTACTCCATAACTTTTGATAACGTCCATTCTACCCCCCTACAATATTGGATGGTTGGCAAATTTTTCCTTTTTCTCATTTTTCTTATACAACTTTGTCTATTACTAACCACTTTGAGTAATGAAGTAGAGAAAAACTAGAAAGGATGAAGTTAATTGTTTGCTTGTATTGATTTGTATTTATAGATATTGCCTACATTAATTTTCATTATATCTGCGATAGATACGTACGAACGTAACCTAGACAAAATACCCATAACTAAAACCCTGCAAAGTAACCAGTTTCGTCTTCAAGACTTAATTCGGCAGGCATAATACATCAAGAACCGCAGAAATGGCAAGCAAGAAGCAATTGAAGAATGCAAACGCAATTGAAACCCCAACGCGGTCACAAAAGCTATGCAACGGCTTACAGAAGTTGGGTAGAGATGTGTGTTTGATCCCTGTTCGATTCAGGTTGGTCACGCCCGTTGCAGCTGATCCCGCACTTATCATCGCGTACGCAAATACCTGAATGTATTTACTCATCATCAATACTGTGAGAGCATCTGTAACAACTATGCGTCTATGCCAAAGTACAGAGTTTGTAGGGTTTTTCTTTGCTCCAACAACTATGCTAAAATGTATGATAATAAAGACGAAAAAGATAGAAATCTTCAAATTTGAAGAAAACTCTAAAACTTAATATTGAGGAAAGATATATATATATATATATATATATATATATATATATATATATATATATATATCAGGTTAGGTTCACGTGAGACCAAAAGTTTTTCGTGAAACCCGTAAGACCAATTTATGTTTATTGATCAACTTTATAAGCTAATGATCTAATAGTCTAAAGTTGCACGGTGACAATTTTGTGATTATTGAGAAGTCTTGTGGCGTTTATGAATGTTCAGATTGTCAGATTAATCCAAGGGTTGAGAATTGGTCTTACGGATCTCATGAAAAACCATTAGTCTTACATGATCCCAAGTCTCTCTCTGTATGTATGTGTGTGTGTGTATATATATATATATATATATATATATATCCTTCCTCAATAATTTTTATAATTTTTTTAAAGTTTTTTTAAAAGTATATTGAGATGATGAATTTATAGAATATTTCAATAATATAACTAATGTTGAAATTGTTAAAATATAGTAGTTGTTGGCAAACGCAAGACCTGGTTCATTAGACACCGTGGCACACGCACGCTACGTTCCTCCATTGTAAATTGAAATAATAGGCGCGTAAAAGGTGTGATTGCATTGTAATGTTTGGTGCCACCATTTATATTTTGAAACTACAAAAATAACACAAGTTTGTCATGATAGAGTTGGTTTGGATGACATTTCTCCCTCCCCATGCATGAGTTTGAATCTTGTTTCAATTATTTTCTTAGTTTTTAGCTGATAATTTCACGTTTCTTATGTTTATGGGGAAAAAATTACGATAAAAGACTCGAACACAAAATCTCACATAAAAAAGCTAAGGAACTAACCAAAAGACCAATGATGATTTTATGAAAAAATATCTATAGTTTTGTTTTTTGTAGTCAAATGGTGCCACAATTCGGAAAAATTTCGTGTCTGGTTGGAGTTGGATGCATTTTTTAGAGATTTTTTATTTTAAATACTTTATTTAAAAAATATACCATATTTGTTGGAGCTGCTATGAAAATACATGAAACCCCATTAGATTGTTTTTAAAAAAAAAACTATTAAGGAGAAAATGAAGGTTCTAACATATATATTGAGAAAAAATAGTCAAAATCTAGCCGAGGTGAGACTCAAACACATCCCTCAACTAAGGCCACATGGGAACAGATTTTCTCCTGATGTCGAGAGGAGGCTAGACGAGTACAGGTTGATCCCTGGAGTGTCGAGTACCTAAAGTGGTATCTTACAGTAATACCATATGAAAATGTGTAAAACCAAATCGATCATTTTCCAAAAAGAGCCTTCGAGAAGAGAAAAGAGGTTTCAATATATATATATATATATATATATATATATATAGGGTTGGGTTGCAGTGAGAATGAGAGTTAAGATGAGAAACGTAAGAAGGAATCTCCACACTTAGATGCACATTAGGATGAGATGCACAAAAATGTACCGGTTCAATCATGTATCAAAAGTGATTCATGGGTGGGTTTGAGATTAAAGGTGATCAAGGTCCAGAYCCCTTCTTACGTTTCTCATCTTAACGTTTTTCCTCACACGATATTTTGCCTTCCCTTTATATATATATATATATATATATATATATATATATATATACATGTGAGAAGTTAAACATTTTGCGAGAAACGAGAAGTTTCAATATAATATATATGATTACACCCATTTGGGTGTGGTTAATCATATATGATTATGCGTCTTTGTGTTGTTAATGCAACGTGTGTTTAGTGATATATGATTAAGCTTGTGTATCATGTATGTAATCATAGATGATTTTGAAATTTTTCGCCTTCTCGCAAAATGTTTAGCTTCTTGTTTAAACATGTTCCTATGTATACACACACACACACACAGAGTCAAATTCAAACAAGAAGGCGGTTGCGAGAAAATGAGAAGTTCTAAGATCATATATGATTACACGTGATATACACACTTAATCATATATGATTACACATGATATACACACTTAATCATATATGATTAAACACATGTTGCGTTATGCACACACATGTAATCACTATATGAACTTGGAACTTCCGCATTCTCGCAAATTGAATAACTTCTCGTTTGATCCTCCTCTCTCTCTCTCTCTCTCTATATATATATATATATATATATATATTGATTGAGAAGAAATGATCCAAGTCTAGTGAACAATGAATAGTAACGAGACTTGAGCATCACATTATTGTAGAGGCGAAACACGCTGGTTATGTAAACCAAAGATAGAAATCAAGCGTATGATTGCTGTAGCCGAAAAGAATACCTGATCGCCGACAAAAATAAGCCATGCGTGGTTCCGAGATGTATAGGCCGATGACTTTCGTAGCATTCTCGATGTCGTAATCACTAGTTGAAGAAGAGAGTGGACCGCAACAGCCGCCGATACTCCAACCAAATACCTGTTCATCAATTGGTGGTTCTTCATCAATTACAACACAAGAAAATGTAGGCAGGGGCACACCTACGAAGGAACGGGGGCGTGCACCCATTCAACTGATTTTAGCACTCTACTTTTTTTTTTTTTGATATGATTCGTGCATCCACTAAACTCTAGGGATGTCCCGGGATATTAGAAAATACAAAGGACGTGAACCGAAAAAGCCCATCGAAATCAACTAAAAACTGAAAAAATCTCTCGAAACGGTAGAATTCGGCTAAAAACACACCGGACTTACACCTAAGATGTAGTCATGTGTCTTGCTCAAAAGGTAAGGGATTGTTTGGTTGGTTTTCCATCAAGTCATACATGCATAAAATTGGTGTGTTTGAATTAATCTGGCTGTAAAGATTGAAAACTGTTTTTGTTTGGGAGGGTTTTTTTTACGGATGGAAGGAACATGTTTTTTAAAGGTAGGGGCAGGTATGGAAACAAAATAAAGCTCGCTTAAAGCTGCCCTTAAAAGCAAACTGAATAAGCCGCTTTCCACATCATTAAGCCCTTACCAATGTATAGTTGACTGAATAAGCCACTTTCTATATCATTAAATCACTACCAAACAGTCATGTATAGCTGACCAAATAAGCTAGTCCCATTGAACTCATTAAGCTGCTAACAAACAAGCCTTAATTACACGTGGAAAAATATACATTATTCCCCGAATGAACACAATTGACTTTTCTTTGGGTCAAACCACGTTGACTTTTCCACAGGATCAAGATGCAACTGTAACAGGCCTTTAATCCACCCTTAAAATGAAATCGCTCGGTAAAAATCTTGGGTCCGTCGTTGACTGTAGGATCACCAATTCGACATGAACTTAACCCCATACGCATTCAACCTCCTATCGTCCCACAACATCATCCCAATCGTATGTTCGGTTTTTTGATTTATCCTAACCGTATACGTTCTAACCACCCGTCGATAGGTAGCTAAATAATGCAAGTTATACCAGTTTAACAAATGAGCAATCCATGAAACAATTGCTCGTACGGTTGTACGGTACAAGTAATCGATGCATATGCTCAATATGTCGTTGTCTATTGAGCTTGACAATTCAAAGTAGAAATTGACGAAATTAGCGAATTTTAGTCCAACGTCTTCTTTTTTTAGCCAACTTTATTTTCATGTATAAAAAAAATCTTTACGCAATATACCAATTACGTAAAAGAAAAATTATGTCTTTTCTTAATCTTAAAATCAAGTTTACGCAAATGCGTAAGACATTTACATGAACTCTAGCTAAAATGTGAATCTGAGTGACTAAAAAGTGAATTTGGTTAATTTCTCCTAAAAAACAAGGTGATCCAGCCGCACCTTACGGCACACGGCTACCTTGTTATGACTTCACTCCATTCACTAGCCCTGCCTTCAGCATCCAACTAATAGCCAAAATTTCGCAAGTGTCTCTTTCTGGCAAGTCACTTTGCAGGCCAAACGCCACCAGAACAAGTTGCAAAAGGGACACTTGCGAAATCGTAACTTATGTTATCAAATTTTAAAAAGTCGGCTAAAAGCGAAAAAGATATTAAAGGGTTGTTTGGTTAGTTTTTCATTAAGAATGAATGAAGTTGTATGTGTGGATAAATCCATCTATATGATCGACAAAGTTTTTGTATGGGAGAGTTTTTTGAAAGAGTGTTTTTTAATATGGATATGTATGTTTGAAAAAAAAAAAACTTGACTTTATACATAAAGCTCCCAAAAAGACATTTTTTATATTATTAAGCAACTGCCAAAAAAAGTTATGAGTTTGCCAACAATCATGTACTATGTACAAAATGGCTGATCTGGTCGGTTATGGAGATAATGAAACCACTAGTCCTAATTCAAATTCCATCGGCTACCGGAAAAAAACAATCCATGAACTATAATCGGAGATCAAAAAATTGAATCAGATCAGTTCACAATCAATAAGCACAACGATCATTCAAATTCCAGATTCGTTTAGTGGTAAAAGTGTGATTCGTTCTGTTAACCTCCATAATAGTCAATCTCTAGTTTCAATTCCACAAAACCTAAGAATCTAGCTACGAAATTGTTTGAAGGAGCTTAATTAACTAATCAAAATCGTTAGAACTCAAGTCGTCTGAATAAGAATAAATACATAAATCTGAAGAACTTACTCGAAGGAACCAGAGAAGGACCATTTGGAGTAAAGAGGAAGATCAAATCCATAGATTGAGATCGTCGATTTCTCCTTGGCGGTGACCATTACAAAAACCGAAATCAACGACGCCGATAAGCTACCAATCCGCAAAACGATATGCATTACATCGTAGCTCCGTGAAAACTTTCTATCGGAGTTCGATGACACAGAGGGACAAGTCATGGTGGCGGTTTCAGCAACGGCGGCGACCTTAGTTGCAGTGGTTATGGTCTGATCGGAAGTTTCAGATGGAGTTTTGAGATGATTGATCATGTTTTGGGTAGAAGGAAGAAGAACAGTGTGAGTGAGAGTTGGGGTTTGAGGAAGAAGAGAATGAAGGTATATAAAAATGGCGGAAGGAGAATAGGGACACGTGGCGGGAGGTAGGGAGGTCCGTGACTGAATAGAATACTAATTTGTTTTGTTTGTAGTTCACGTTCTATAATCGATATGTTATAAAAACCTTCGTTAACGATTACTAACGAGAAGAATTTGGGATTTTTTAACGTTTTAATAAATAAAAAAATGAAAAAGAAAAATATTAAATTCCAAGGTGGCGTCTGATCGGTTTAAACTTAGACTCAAAAGGTCAAAAGTAGTTGGAGATAGGCTCGTTCATCTGTTGACATCCATTGGATATGAGGAAACCAAACCGATCCAATTATCCATTTGATGTTGTATTTTGCCAACCAATCTGATCCGATTAACATTTGATAACCGGTTCAATCCAATCCAATGGATTATTAGATCGGTTTGTTCCATCCATTGGATACTTTATTCGGATATCCAATGAATGATATGATGGGATTGGATTCAATCAAATTCTCTAACAATAATACAAATTAATTAATCATTTTTAATATGTGTTAAAACCAACACAAAGAAAGTTAAAAATTCAAAGTCTCACATAAATAAATTTTGATTTGATCAATTTGAAAATACATTAATTGGATAATGGTTGGATGGTCATCGGATGATTAATTGGATGTTGATCGGTCCGGTTCGATTTTGATTGGTTCAAGACTGTCATCCGATTACCAAACCGATCCAAATTGGATGTTGAAATTTTAAATCCGATCCAGTTACAATTGGATATCCAATTATGGTCGGTCGGTTTTAATTGGATCGGTTGATTTTCGGCACACCCCTACGTGGAGGTCCAAGATTCAAATCTTAAAAGAAATAAAAATCTATGGCCAAGAAGGTTCAAATGTGGTGATTTAGGCTACCTGCAAAGCAGTTGATCGTTCTGAAATTAGTAGACTCATAGTGGGTTGCATATCCAGGTTAATAAAAAAATAGTTAAGATCATCTTCTAAGTATTTAAATGTTTAAAACTTTACATTTTAAGTATCGAATGGAAGTTTTAAAAAAAACATTACCTAAAATAGGAATCAAGTTAAAGTGTTTTATTTTTTCATTCAATTTGCCCTTGATTATATTATTAAAATATGACATAAATATAATAAAATGTTATTTCCCTCTAATAAACATCTAAAAACAATGTTTCTTATTGGTGAAAATATAATAAAAATTATTTCTTTCTCGTATTAATCATTTTTTACGAGTTTTTCAAATTTGGAGAATTCCACACATTCTCTCTCATGTTTTCTCTATTTTGAAAAACGCTTTGGAGCAAAATTTTGTTCAAAATCGTCTTTTGCAGATACTGTAATAACTTGCGATATATATATATATATATATATATATATATACATACATACATAAACTAAAACTTTAGTAAGTTGTTAAAGTGCTACTTGCAAAATGATGATGTGACAAGTAACACATTATCAAGTTGGGACTGTTGGGTAAGTATCATTTGCGAAATCTTGACGAAATTGTGATTTGAAGACGTACTTATTGATTTTTGTAGTATTTTACAAGTTCGATTCGGACTCTTTCTGATCCCGATAAAGAAAGCTTACTAATAACAGTTGGTTAGTCGTTACAGCTAGGAATCCATATATAAACTCAAATGTGTTTCCGTTTCCTACCTCTACCGTACGGAAATGGTTACAATTCTCGGCATTTAATTCAAATTTGACATTTTAAAGATCAATTTCTGATATATCCAAACTCTCTTTTAGACATGTAATATTAAAACGAAGCTTTTCGTATAGGAAAATGTAGGGGTGTACAAAAAACTGTTAACCCACTAAACTCGTCCAACCCAACCCGCTAACAACCAATTAAACTCAACTCGCCTAACCACTAACCCGCCAATTAGAAGGGTTCCCAACCCGCCCAACACGCCAACCGGGTTGGGGCAAATCACCATCCCTACTGTCAAGTTTCAATTGTTAAAAAGTGGTCTCAGGGGTCTCATGAAAACAGGTTGGTCTCACGTGATCTCAAGTATATATATATATATAGGGTATATTTCTTTTACAACCTTGTGTATTTGTACAACCCTTGCAACCCAATTAATTGAGATATTTATAGAAATGATGGGAGTTCATTTATTATGATTTGAATATTTATGGAATATGAATAGGGTTCATTAATTATGATTAATACTTTATTTTAGTAAACAATCAAAACTTCTATGAAATCACATATTCATCAAATGAAATGGACGGTTGAGATTGGGTTGTATTGGTTGCACAAATGTCAAAATAACCAACCTCTATATATATATATAGACTTGGGATCATGTGAGACCAGGCTGTTTTCGTGAGACCCGTGAGACCAACTTTTTACACTTGAAACTTCACAGCAAAATGCTGTGAAGGTAACCTTCACAGCGTTTTTGCTGTGAAGGTTCGACTTTTTTAATCCTTCACAAACCTTCACAGTGTTTTTGCTGTGAAGTTTCAAGTGTAAAAATGTGGTCTCACGAAAACAGTCTGGTCTCACGTGAACCCAACCCTATATATATATATATATATATATATATATATATATATAAATAATTGTAATTTAAATGTAAATTGATAAAGCCCAAAGAAAGAGAAGAAATTGAAAAGGATATGAGCCCACTTACTCAACTTATTCCCGTTTGGCACAAACACATTGTAAATCATTCGAAAGTTTTTTTGACCGTTGGTAGTGTTTGGGATTTGCTTATTTATATATTAGGTGTGTACCCATGCAATGCTGCAGGAGTCATAGATTTTAACGATTTTGAAGTTTTATTTGTTTTATAAGATAAGATTTAACGATGATATAGGTTACACTTGATCATTACATATTAATACAATTTGAATAAATAAGAGTTATGGTTCCAATTACAGACTATCGATGAAAAAAAAATTATGACAGTTTAAAATCCAGTATATTTAAAATCCAACATATTTAAATGACTCAACAAGTGTGTTCGATTTACATTAAGAGCAAAGAACCAAGAAACTTGAGTTTTAAGATGAACACTCAAAACCAATAAAGAAAACTATAAATTTGACAAATCATAAGTCATGAAAAGACCAAAAAAGAAGAGTTTTAAAATGAAATTTCAACTGCTTACCCTCTTTCTTGTCCAGAAACTCAGATTAAGGTTGAATTAATACATGTATATATATTTCAAAAAAACCCAAGAACATATTATACAGTGCAATTTGGACAGCCTAACCCCAAAATATATAGTATATATATAAACAAATAACTATAAAAGTATAAATCGTGAATATTAAAAATATTTTTTCATAATATATATAATATATAATAATATAATTAAGTCAAAAACTATTCAATATTTGACTCATTTCGCAGGTATTAACTAGAAGATTATAATGGTGTAACTTGTTAAAATAAAAATATATTTTTTTAAACATATTTTAATTGATATACGATTATGTATGTTAATTTGATAAAGGTTTAAAATGAAATATTTAAAAGTAAAGGACGTAAAGTAAATTAATTAACTAATTATAAGAGTATAAAGTGTAAATTTAAAATTGTAATTTAAAAAAAAAATTGTTGTGAGAGGGTGAGTGTATATGAGGAAAGAAGAGGGTGAAAAAATAGTATAAAAGGTATTTTGGTCATTTAGTATTTTAAGACTTTTGTTAAATTTGCTTAATAAGATAATATAGATATTATATTATAAATCATTTGACAAAAACTATTAAAACTTTTTTATGGCTGAAGTACTATTTATTGATACATATTACTTAAAATTCAAGATTATAAGTAATTTTGCATAAATATAACTTATTAAAGCTCTATTTTTAAATTCGTGTAACTAAATGCAGATAAACATAATCAAATACTGAATAAACATTCATTTTAAATATATAAAAAATCTAAAATATAATTAAGATAATTATTGAGTTCTAACAGAATGTTTAATTATTATCTTTATAAAAAACTATATTATTAAACCAAAAATAAATTACTTTGTTATTAAATCTAAATAAACTTATAATAAAAAATTGAATTAAATAAGTTACAGCAAAAAAACAAGAACTATTAGATAGTTAATTTGATACCAATATCGATTTATTTTTTTCAGATTTTTATGATACCTTCAAATTTATATTTCATTCAGAAATAAAAACATTATCACCTTTTCAAAACCACATAAAATCGTATTATATCGATAGAGACAGGATAAAAACTAAATATTAAAATGGAGATTTATCACGCTGTATTGCGCGAGTACCGTTCTACTATATATATGTAATATTTAAAAGTGTTTATCAATTTATATGATGTTAAATCATCATTCTTAAAAAATGTTTGGATTATTTTATAGCGATACCAAAACGTAATAACCTGATAAGTATTTTTTTTTCCATCCAAACACTACAACTTTCTTATTACCGGTACCAAACCGGAAATAAGTTAAAAAAGAATAACTTATCAAAAACTCATTTTTTAAGTATATAATATTTATATACAACAAATGTAATAAATAAACTCACACACTCTACTTACCTTTGGTGAGGCTTGAACCTCTGATATCTGAGGAGACCAAAAACTACGAATCAAGTTACCAAATAAGAATCAAGTTAAAGTACATTACATTTTGATACAATTTACCCTTATAAAAATGTAATTTTTACAAATTTTAATAAATTAAAGACAATTTTACTCTTAATAATAGAAAGATAAATTTTATCCATCTCATAATTACGAGGGAAATGGATTAGTATACATTTATTTTTTAAAACCGATACTTATTTTGATACAGACTAAAAAAAATGTTGACATTTTTTTGAACGGAAAGAGTAGTTAACAACAACATGAGTGTCAATCACGTTGTTTACCTTTGTTATTTCGACTTTGAAGCTTCTGGTTTTACCATGCTTAGATTATATGTATTATGTATT